GTAAAAAACTTGCATAATGACGATGGAAATCATCGCTTAATGATGTTTGAGGTATTGATGGCTCTTTTCTAATTTAAATATCGTCTGAGTAAGCGATAGAACGATGCAAAAGATGGAAAAGGGATAAGAAAAAAAATATATTTACAACTTTTACGGGGTTGGGTTTCGGTCATTTTATTTTCAGGTCAAAAACTTCCAATTCACTTTTCCAGTTGACTTCCCCTGTCATTAATCACGCAGTTTTCCCAACTGCTTTCGTCCGCTGATATCTGGATTGTTGAAATTTTCTGAACCATTCGTTTTTTTCCCTTTGTCAGATATCAATTATCCTTAAAACCGGCGCCTTTCGTGAAAACCGTAAAATTTTTCTAATCTTTTTTCCCCGTTTCGGTTTCAGAAAGACCCTAAAAAACTATTCTATACAAAACTGGAACACTTCATAAAATAGGGAAGGATGCATTAATCACTCTTACCAGATATACCGTTTTCTTTTAGAAACCAAATTTTAATTTTATAAAGGAACCAGATATTAAAAAATATTTTTAGAAATCCCTTATAAATGGCACTTTTTCTTCCATTAAATCTCTGAAATTAAAAATAATGTATAGCGTTTTTTTAATGGTAGTGTGTTTATTTTTGTCGTTACGGTGGTGATCTTCCCAAATCACGCAAAAATTAATAAATAATAATAAAAACTAAACGGTTAACGAAAATTTGTCCACAAACATTAAACATTCTATTTAAAATTATACCGTTGAGAAATTTTGGATTACATTAGTTGTAAATCTATTATTTAATCATGCATCCGGTATTTAATTATTACACCACCCTTTCCAATTTAAATAATTCATAAATTGAGATTTTAATTATATATTTCCTTAATTTAATGCAAGCGTGTTTAATTGGGAAAATAGAAACTTTGTTAATTATTTCTCTACTAATCAATTTTAAGAAATGTAATGCACGCTAAGCTTACATTAATGAAGAAATTGTGTTTCTGTAACAGATCATGCTGTAACTAAACTCTAATTTTAATTTAAAAAATAAATAATTATCTATAGGATGTATTTTATATAATAATAATAATAATAATCATCGTCGCCATCCGAGTTAATGTAACTGATAACGTTGGAAAAACATTCTAAGACAGATAATTTGGAACAATTCGCTTTGATTCCGTAACATCTCGTTATAAAAACAGTTTTAAAGATTTAATTAACGTTTATCTGTTTAATTAATTAGCAAATTATATTTAATATTTTAATCTGTAACAGCTAAGCTCTTCTAAAATTTAAATATAATCTTTTAAAAGCCAAATCTTTTTTTAATTTTGAATAAGAAAATGTTCACTAGATACGAAGAGAAAAAAAGGGGGAGGGGAAAAGAATAAGAGCTTTTCATATTTGGATAAAAGACCCATCAAGAAATGTTCCATCCACAAAATCTGTTATTATGGAGTCTGCAAGGAACCCCAAAAAGTGTAAATGGAATTTATGCATGGAATAATTTTTCAAAAATGTCGATACGCCCGAATAACCTGATCTGGAGTTAAAATATTTGAACGTCGGAATATTATTTATATCAATCAATTTTACCAAAAGTAATATTCGATTCTTTCATCAATAAATCTTCGGAAATATTTATAAGTTAGATTATAATACATTGGCTTTGCTTAAATCTGATTAAAATTTAATTCTGTTTAGTCGAGACCGACTTAAACATAATTAAACCTTTATGGAATATCGAATAATGTATAAAATTTTAATTAAAGTGCAATTTCATCGAAGAATTATTTAATTATATATTTTATTATTAATTACGTGTTTTAATGGCGTCAATAAAATGTATATCCTCCTCCATAGATGATTCAAATGAGTTTTCTGTAGTCCTCCGGTGAAATGCACTTTAACCATCTGCTAAAAGTTAGATTTAACTAGTAAAACAGCTTAATTATATTATTACATTTAATCGGAATTTTAATAACCTTTAACTATCGAAATAATTTAACTAGCTTCAAGCTTAAGTGTAGATTTTATTTCATTAACTGTTGATATCCTTTAACGGTTAAGAAACGGTTTAAAATTATAGAAAATTCTTAAAAGAGTAAAATCAATTTAACAAGATATATTAAAATTGGCGAAAATAATCTTTTTTACCTTCAAATTTATAATAGGCACTACTTATAAGTCTTGACTTAGTTAAAACCTTTATAGCTTAACCTAGACAATCAAAATAGTTTAACAGCTTCCTATATTGGGTTTAACCATAAATATAATCTAAGGTAGGTTTAATGACTGATATTTTAGCCACTCTACCATATTTAATGATAGAAATTTTAACCACTTTTCTACGTTTAACGATCGAAACTTTAACCACCCTACTACATTTAACTACCGAATAATTTAAACCGCTCTTACCATTTAGCTACGAAAATTCGGTTTAATTAACGAAATGTTTTAAAATTCTTCCTACGTTGCCAATAATCAATTTATTCGATTTAATTTCGAAATTTTTTTCTTTCCTGGGTTTAACTAACAGATTATATAAACAAGATTTAACTAATGAAGTATCTTAACACTCAATTAACTTTAAATATCGTACGGATTTAACCATTCAACTAATGTTTATCGACGAAGTATTTTAACCACTCGATTTAACCGCATCGAGCTGTTTTAATTATCCGCTTTGTTAGTTAGTCGTAGAAGAATGTAATTAAACCTGTTCGATTTAGTAAAATCAATAGTTCGGAACTCATCAATCAATGTTAATAAACTTTTACATCATCAAAATTTCAGAAAAATACTTTCTTTCTCTCCAATATAATAATTACTACCACTAGAAGACATCATCATATCTTTTCTGTTTCTCTTCAACAATGTCCTTTTCTAATTTAACTACAAATCGAATTCCGTAAAGTATTTTTCGGGAACTGATATCGATTTTATACTAAAAAGATTTCCTCAAAAAAAAAAGAGGAAGGAAAAGGGAGGGGGGAGGAAAAGATTTAATCAAATACGAATTTTATTTAATGTTGACATCGTGTGTATAGAGGTTTCTCCATTGCTGGAGGAAGAAAATGATTATTCCGTATATTCTCTTTTGTCAGTTATTTCTTAAAACATATTCACTGACTGGAAAATGAAAAATTGAAATCAGATATACAGATTGTGCTTTTTTTTCTTCCTTCCCCCACCCTTCGTATAGACGGAAACAAATAACCAATTCTCGATTTTTTCAGTTTTAAAACTATTATTACCGGACGAATTTTTAGTAAAGTTAAGATAAAACTCGGTCAGGGCATAAATTATAACTAATTCCGGACGTGAAAGAGGGGGAAAAATCGATAAGTTCCTGTAGGAAACAGGTGTAACAATTGAATCATCATTAGTTATATTCTAAGAATAACCTCTAGCCGCAGACAAAAATCTATAGACGACAAAAAAAATCGGCGATGAAGATATTGATCGCTGAGGTGTAGACATTTAAGGATTCGGGTCAAAACGAGATGCTGGTATTTTCGTTGTCAAAAGTTTTTCTTAGCAAATACAACTCTTAATAGGTCGAGACGCATTGGATAACTGACCAGCATCGATGTTTTCTCAGCACTTAATCTTATTGATATCTAGTCGGATGCTGTAAGAGTGCAGACATTTTTTCTTTCTTTCTTTCTTGGACGTTTTTTGTTTGCAGCAGAAATGTCAGTAGAAATAGCTAATGGACAGTTTTACTCTGATAAGGAGATTGTATCTCAAATACTTGTTTTGTACAGTTCAAGCAATTTTCTTCACGTTCCAAACTAATGGGTGTGAAACCCTGTATCTTGAATCGATTGAATACCGGATCCACTTTTTGTTACAATCGAATTATCTGTTTTACTTAACGTTGTTTGCAGGAAGCCTATATGTGCTTTATCCGTTCTTTCCACAATTAATTGTTTTTAAAATGTTTTTTTTTCCCCTTCAGCTGGAAATTATTTCTTAATTGATTGGTACTTTTGTAGATTTAATTTTATATATCATATTTCTTTCTCTTTTCATTTTTTAAGAGATGTTGACTTAATTCTGCTATATGATATGAAGTTAAAGTGATTAATAGAAATTAGCTCTTCAATTTTAAAACTGACAGCAAGAATAAATATTTTATTAAAGAAAAATATTATGTATATAAAAAATTTTTGAGAGTTNTATTAATTTATAAATCAATTTATGAAAGAAAAATGAAAACTTTCAGATTAAGATTTAAATTAATAATTAAAAACAAGTAAATAAAAACTTCGGGTTGAACGTGAGATTATAGCTAATTATGTCGCATTAAAATTACAGTAATTGTATAAAAAGATTTAGAGACAAAAATTTCATTGTGTAATTAGTTTTAAAATATGTTGGCATTATAGAAAACAAGATTTTTCTTCTTTTGAGGCAAACTTTATTTTTCAGTTTTGCAAACAATGCATTAGAACCAAACCTCCAGTCAGCTATAAAATATTAAAATCTGCTTGTTAAAAAGTATCTCTCTAATTGGCAGAATTTAATTATAAAAGATGTTTTCATTATCAGAAATTAGCTACAAAATATGACAAGGTATATTTAAAATCAAAATTCAGCATTTTTGTGTTAAGAACTGAAGAATAAAAGCTGACTCGGAGGTAGGTTTGAGCACTAAATATTCTGTATGAATGCAGTTGACGGGTATAGACTATGCTAGGCACTTGTGTTGTAACAAAAGAAATTTCAATTAATTTTTTCATTATTATTATTTTCTTTTCTTTTTAATATTGGAACAATCACTTTTATGAAAATGTATAAAATTTGCCAATTTTTGACCTCTCGAGGCAAACCCAGTGGAAGAGGTAAGGCAGAAGTGTTAGAGCAGTAAAAACGTCAAATCCGAACTCGTACAGAATGTTATAAATGCTCAAACCCTTATAAATTATGTATACAATATAAAATAGTGCACAGCACTTAAAAAAGCAATATAAGTTTTGGTGAATCAATAGACAATTATTAAAATGATAAAGTGATTTTTTTCATACACACAATCTGAAATAGCTTGGTATATGGCTAGATACACAAATTTAACATTTTCTCTACTCATCACATATACAATTTTTGACTGATACAATTTTATTTATTTATTTTTTTTTTCTTTGGGAGATGTTCACACTATATATATATATATATACAGTATATATAGTGTGAGTTAGTTGTGCTAGAGTACTGCATTTGCTGCCTCCAGCTTTTATTGATTAGTTTCTTTCTCTTGGTTCTATGACAGCATGTATGGAGTGCTGACTTTCTACCAAACTTTAAAGTACAATAGATACAAAGGTTGTTTCCTTAAGCACCTAGCTTGATGTTCTTTGTATGGCAGTTGTCAAAACAGTGGTATTAGAACAGAATGCATTTCGGTAGCTATAAAACAGGAACTATTTGACAGACTGCCACCTACAAGCCATATCAAAAAGGATGGTAGGAGTCATGCATGATGTGTGTAGTTTTGGAAAATGCAAACATCATGTAGCAAAGTATTATGGCAGTTGATTGGAAATATCAAATAAATTTTGTTAAAGAAAATGACTACTAAGCTTAAATTCATTTGGTTTAAAAACTGTGATGATAGCCATATTCCATACATACTTGATGACAGCTTAGGGAAATTCTTCTTGGCACATCACAACAGATTTCTGTGTGATTGAGTCGATTTGAGGTTTAAATATGTAGAAGGGGATGAAAATCATTTCAATACTTGGAGAGCAGCATAATTTTTGCAAAAGAAGGAGTCTGAAGAACTAATATTATACCTAATTAATCTACTATAGAAAGCAAAATAAGAACTAACCACCACTGATTTAAATGGTGTGTACACATCATTAGTGTGTAAAATGACCAGAACACTTTGGTTTATTTGGAGACCTCATTCAAGGTCTGACTTAGTTATCATTCTTGCCTTTAAGTCCACGTGGCAAAAACATATCACAGTTACAAAACACTGCACACAATCTTCTTTAAGTATACAATGGTTAAGTCAACAAAGACATCACATCATCCAGGAAAAAGAAAAAACTGATCACTTCAAATTATTCATCACAAAAATGTGTATGTTATACTGTATATATATATATTTATATATAATAGAACTGATCCTGCACATATATTATGGCTAATCAATATACATACAAACACTGCAGCAGTAAACGAAACCCAAGTTTTTCTACAATCATGAAATAATCACAAAATGATTTTAGAGTCTTTTGCTACTGTCATATTGACAACACAATCATGGGTATTTTGTGTGAATTTCCAATCTAATTTCTTAGATTACCTGATATTTTACTTTTGAGTAATGGAAGCAATCCTAAGGCTCTACAACATAAGCAATCTCATTTCAATGCTACTGCTGCACCTTGCCGTGCTTGGCTACCACACAATATCTTCTTACAAAGTCAATCACTAACACCGTACCGGCAGTGTATTATCTACCATGATGATGGAAACTGAACTTCAGTTCATATGATGCACAGAACCATTGTTAAATAGTTCTCCCTTGGTCCTAATGGGGTTAGGGAAAAGAGATGGAATCTCGGTGCAAGCATTACTTTGAAACAGTAATGCATGCACAATGCTGTCCAATAATAATTAGTCTTCTTCACTTTCACCTTGACCATACATATCAGCCAGTTTACCAAAACGAGGTCCCCAAGTATTTAAATAATCAAAATCTTGCTCATTATCATCCGTGCCCGAAGCTAGTGAACTAAGAGAACCAGCCGTGCTTCCACATCCTTCATAGGCATAGTTACGAAGATCATCAAACGGTGGAGCATTTGGATCATTATCAGCTTTATCTAAATGATCGCTGATAAAATCACCAACATCTGGATAGGTATCACCTGGAGGTACTGTAATATATATAAAGTTGTGATTACTAATACTTTTAATATGTGCTAACAAGTATATCAGATGTATGTTCTTACACAAATACTGTTCATAATATAAAGAAAAACTCTCATTAATACCTTGTCGCTGGCGTGGTTCTTTTATAGGAGCTTTTTCGGGTCCCGGTTTTGTTCCTAAAGGTGTGCCAGCAGGATTAATAGGAATTCTTAATGGTGTAATATCATAAGCATTCATATCGTCTTCTCCACCGCCTTCATCGTCGTAACTGATGATGTTTTCTCTCACATCATCGTCAACATCACCGTGTCCATATTTTTGATCTGCTCTTCTGCTACGAGTATATGCAACGATGACCAATACCAATACTGTACAAAAACAAATGAAACACATTTAAAATAGCAATTACATTTATCTATTTTTGATCTCGCAAAGTTTCTATGCTACTGTAAAAATGCAAAAGTTATATCAAATTACCAGATATACTTTAAGATTATATGAATTATGATGTCATTTACCATGAAATAATGAAAAATATCATTTTGTGTAAAAAGTCAATACTCATTCAAACATTCATCTTACCTAAAATTGATCAGTTTATGTTTATGTAGCGGAAATCCATATTAACAATTTCAAATTTTTTTAATATAGAAAATTACATTTGAAAAGAAACCTGTTTTTTATTGTTCATCAGCAAAACAGTAATTTGTTGTAATTAGTAAAGCTTTTCTTTAAATGATATATCACATTCTTTATCTTTCCAGAAAGAATAAGATTAAGCTTATTATATGTAATATTTTAATTACAGAAAACACATATAGATAACTAATTAAAATTTACTCTGTACCTGTCTTTGATTTAATAACTTTAATAATAATCTGCACACTTATTATCTTTAGTTACAAAACAAAAGTTTTAAGTAAAGATAAAGATGAAAGCATTTTTAATAACAAAAGCTTCTAAAAGTTAACAGATGTGAAGCTTCTTATTAAAAATTGAGTCAGGAAGGAATGAATTAATGATCTTAGTTATCAATATTTAAAGAAGTTTTAGATGTTTATTTAACAGAATAATGTGAACATTTTTTTATAGACTTCATTATCTAAATTAAAAAATTCAATCAATAACAATCAATTATGTTTAATTAAATTAAAAATTCAAAATTTTTTTATAATGTATTTTATTATTTTAAAGAATTTAGTTTATCATCATTTTCAGATGATAATTATTCTTATTACTACATTATTTCTTTTAACATTTCAATTGAAATTTCTTTCATAAAATCCCAATAGAACTGTAAAGAAATCTTTCTCATTTTACACTAGTATTCTTTATGAAATATAAAATAGTTTCACAAATCTAATTAGGAAAAGAAACAAGACGAATCTATGGCTTAAAAATGAAATTCTGTCTAACAAAAGAATTGGAAATCCTTGATCTGAAAAATATTTTTATCTGACTGACAAGTCAGATCTGATTTTAAAAGAATTCTTTTCTGTACTGATACAGAATGAAAATAAATTAATAGGCTGATATTATATTCTTTTTATTTGTACATTTTTAAATTACTATTTAATTAACACATAAAACACAATTNCAATTTACAATATACAGTAAAACCTGTCCAAAACTGAACCTGAAAAAAATGGAAACCTGCCAAAACAGAAAAAAAGTTCTTCAAAACAGAGCAATTTTCTGTTGAAAAACAAATCTGTTCAAAACAGAAACTTGTCAAACAAAAAATATTCAATACTGTGCAATTTCAGTATAAACAGGTTTTACTATATACTGTAATTGTAGTAAGTTAAAATAAAAGTTTAATTATTTAGTAACTAGAGTCAACATTTACTGTATATTTTAGTTAAAATGCTAGAAAATTTCTGAATTAAAATAAATATTAAATATTTTTTTTGCTCAGATTCTTCCTGGTTTGATGAGCTTTTTTGTTGGCTATGTCTCTTATTTTATACCAACAATTTGATAAAATAAGAGACAAAGCCAACAAAAAAGCTTGTCAAACCAGGAAGAAACTGAGTGAAAAGTTCCATTGGTTATGGAAAACTTTGCACCAAAAAAAAAATATTATACTCCTCACAAATTATTATTCTCTTAAACACCTTTGAAGCACTACAAAATATGAGGAAAAATCAAAAACACTGCCAACTGTGTTTTCTGGGAAAATAATTAAAATTATGAAATTACAAAATGAGAGGGCAGTTTCTAATGATGTCTTGTGACATGTGGTGGAAATATGGGCATTCAAAAATTGCAGGTCTTATGTCAATTTCCATGCCAGAGGAATACAGAAATGTAATTTGATATTTGTGGGCATTTGGCAAAAATGAGTACTGACTGTGAGTGTGAGGACAATTGCTTGTTGGTGGTATAAGAATGCTCATTGTTCAAAAATGGAACAATGAGCATTCAGGATGTCCTAGATCAGGCCATTCTTCGTGATCTGGCATCTTGTGATTATCATGGTTTTGCTCTCCTCAAGAAGACATTAACATGCTTTGAAAGAGACAAAGATGTGAAGACAGCAAGTAGTTTGACTGTGGCTGCATTGTATATGTTCTATGAGAGTAATATCCAATAACATGTGACACAATGAGACAAATGTTTGGCTTATCTTGGAACCTTATAATAGGGACATGGAAAAAATATACATTTGAAAGCCAAGTTCAAACTCTACTTTGAAATAACAGTCAGATTTCAAGAAATTTGCAGTTGGCAAAGAATTTTTTAATCTCCCCTCATATATACATTATACATTTTAAAAATTAATTCAGTTTATGCTAAAAAACTCTAAGAGCCTTTATTTTTGTCATACCTATCATGAGTTTGGTCAAACCCACAAAAAGGAGCTAGAGCCTGACCACCCATGAAAAATTTCTAGAGTTGCTCACCACGAAGCAGCAGGTTGATGCTTTAACTGCCTCAGACATCTAGCTAGCCATGCTAATTTTTATATTTATAAATATAATGAATCCTGTTTCTATGATTGTATTGTGTAGTAAATAAATACTAATATCATAATTATACAAACAAATACAATTAACAGATAGAATCAGATAGAAGAATTTAAGAAAAGAAAAATTCTTTTATTACAATTATTAGCTGAATAATAATACAGTATAATAGTCTTTAGAGTAGTTTCTGTAATTTTTATAAAAATAAATGTTATAAAATAAAATTTATTTATTTGTCATAATGTTGTGATTATTAATATGAAGATTTTGTCTTTTATTTCTAATATTGGTATACAAACAATTTTATTTTTTATTCCTTGTTTTTGTTAAGACTTTTCAAAATAAAATTTACAGATTATATAAATCTCAATATGTAAAATAAAGGAAAAATTTCACAGTCTAGAGATTTAACCTAATTCCATGTTTTTTAAGTTATTGGAGAACTAAGTTGAAATCTTGAACTTGATTAAATATAAAAATATTTTGGTAATATGTATGATAATAGCTTTCCAGCTGCATTGTAAGTGTATAGAGTTAGCATCTGCTACAAGAATCTAGCAACAACTGTCAAATTGAACATCTGATATTCAAATCTCTAAACTATGAAAAATCAAAAAGTTTTCTTAGATTGTTATATATGCTTCAAGATGCACTTTGAAAATGAAAGTTTTACTCTTAAATATGCAGTAGTGAAATGTGAATTTATATAAAACTACTAAATATGTAATAATTAACATTTTATCAAAGTAAATTAAAAAATAACTCATAGATGAAAAAATATATATTTGGAATATAAGAAGTTTTTAGCATTTACAGCAAATTAATTTACTATTTTTTAAATGGACCAAAAAAAAAACATTTTTATATTAAGGTTAACTGATAATTGCTTAAATGTTTTGGTCGAAATCTTAGAATTAACAGTTTACATAGAATATATAAATCAGAACAAATGCAAAATTAATATTCTGAAGAGTTACAGTTTTGAATTTGAAACATGTATTTTATTTCATATGTTCTATTGCATGTTTCAAATTCAAAACTGTAACTCTTCAGAATATTAATTTTGCATTTATTCTGATTTATATATATTCTCTATTAGATTTAAAATCGTACACTATTCTATACTGTTAAGATGAGGATGTCAAATTTTGACTGAAAAAGTTTCTTTTATTTAATGAAAACTGGCTTCCTGAATGACTTAATATATTCCTGGCACCATATTATTACTAATACTAAAATGTTTACTTCAGAAAGCTAAATCTTTAATTGAATAATAATAAACATTTTTATCTAGGACCTCAACTTAAAATTCTTATATGAATTATATGCTGAGGTTGCCTGGATCAGGATGAAAATGTTTCTCATTATTCAATTAAAGATTTGTCTTCCTGAAATTAGTATAAATTTATTTATGAAAGTTGGCACCATCTTTGTAAATAAATAAATATTTTATTATAATTTAAATCTACTTGAATTTTCTACAGAAAATACATATACAAGGTCTGTTCAAAAAGTATCAGACCTTATTTTTTTCCGCGTAAACCAATGATGCGCGAGAGGCCTCCTTTGGTGGAGTTGTGGAGGGGACAGTCATGCACATCTCTGAATTTTTTCCCGCCTGCAGGAAGCGTCAGTCGTTGGCAATCGGCCTATGAGTGAGGTCATGTAGAGCGCTCTCATCGGATTCCACTAAGCTGAAAAATGACTGAACAACGCGAGCAGCGGTATTACATCAAATTTTGCCAAAAACCTTGGCGATACCCGAGTGTAAACCATTCGCAAGATTCAGCAGGCTTTCGGGGACGATCCTCGAGGCCAAAAAAAGCGCGGCAGGTCCGCAGCAATATCAAAGGTCATGTTGACAGTTTTTTTACTCTCGTGGGGGTGTGTCGTGAGTACGCATTACAAGGCCAAACCATCGCAAAGGAGAACTACCAGGAGGTCCTTCGTCGTCTTTCCGATACAGTGCGACGCAAACGACAGGATCTGTGGTCGATCAAAACTTGGCAGCTCCATCGTGATAACGCATCCGCCCATTCTGCGCATCTGATTCGGGCTTTCGTCGCCAAACACAACACTCCTGTGGTTCGTCACGCTCCGTAATCTCCCCACATGGCTCCGTGTGACTTTTGGCTATTTCCCAAGCTGAAAATGCTGCTAAAAGGAACACGAATTTAGTCGAGAGAAGACATCGTGCGAAATGCGACGGACCGGCTGATGGCCATTCCAGAAAATGCGTTTTAGCAGTGCTTTCAGCAATGGCAGGAACGCTGGGAGAAGTGTATACATTACCAAGGAGACTACTTTGAAGGGAATTAGGGTTTTGTACCTCAAAGTCAATAAATTTATTTTTGCCGATCAAAGGTCCGATACTTTTTGAACAGACCTTGTATGTGAAAAAAAATTTTAAATGCAAGAGATCATTTTCCTATTGAGAAATTTTGGTAAAAGTATCTTACTAGGTTTTTTTTCAATTCAATATATCAACAAAACTGACTTACAGAAATGAAATCTATTTTTAAATCTAAAGATGTCTATTTTCTTTCCATTACTGATCTATTTTTATAGATTCTGATTTCTAGTCATCTATATCCCTATTTTTCTATTTATATTGCTTGGGTATTCAAGATTTCTTCTTTGAACATTTTTATCATTATTTCTATTCCCACACATGTATATGTTGCTTATTTTTTTCTATTTTGTTGTTATTTATTTTTTGAACTGATAAACATACATAAATAACTTACATCATTTATATGTGATAAAATTATTGAGGTTAGAAATATTGCTTGCTGTTTTTGACATGCTAACAATATTGTTTTTGATCCTATTTTTTCACAAACATTGTATTAGTAATTTTTTCACCGTGTTTGTTTTGATTATTGATTAAAAAAAAAACTTGATTGATATGTGTATTATTATAAGAATTTTTTCCTACAATTTATGTGTATGCTAAATCTTTTTACTGACACTGATAAATTTTATTAGCAGTCACTGAATGGATACAAAAAGACAATAGTATCTAGATAGTTTTTCAATGGTATTTTATGCACAAATTGATGCTTAAATATTCTAAATTAGATATTTCATAATAAAATAAAACAGATTATTACTATAAATTGATAACAATTTAACATAAATTTGTGTATAAACAAATATGAATAAATTTATGAACTTTTAATAACCATAATATTTTTAAAAAGTTATGAAGTAAAATAATAATAATAATAGTAGTAATATTAATAAAATAATAATAGTTTCTACTGTTCTTTATAGAAATATTAGTAAAAATTTGCCAAACTGAAGGAATACTTGTAAATTTTATTATTATATATTAACAAAATTCCTTACTGAGATAAGTTGCCAGACAGGCAAGAGCAATGCCTAAGGCACTGATGCCAAATGCAAAAGCTGATTCTTCAATGCTGCGGTAAATAACATCGCAGCTGCAGTTATGACATCTGTATCCACTAGGACACAAACAGTAGAAACCTTCACCATTATCAAGATTATGGCAACTATTTTCTATTTCACAAGGATTGTCGAGGCATTCATTCACATCAACACATTTCAATCTATCCTCTGACATTTCAAGACCTTTTGCACAGCTGTGATAAATAATAAATAATAATAATAAAACAATATACTAGCTGAAAGATATATCTGTTTATTAGAGAATTTTCATGTTTATTTAGGGTTTATTTTTATTTATAAGTCATCATATTATGAAAGAATCTTTCAGTTAGTACAAGCCATTCACACTTTTGTTAGTTACAGTTAAAAGTTATATCATTGTTAGTACTTACTTAATATGTTAAGAAGACAAACTAAAATGGCAGCCAAAGCTGCCATACTAAGACGCATTACTTTTTCTTCTCTTCTAGCATCACATAGATCCCCACCAAATCCATCCAAACATACACAATAAAATCCCTCACCATTGGGAAGATTAACACAGTTTCCACCATTCATGCATGGAAAGCTTAAACATTCATTTTCATCAGTACAGTTTTTACCATCTTCAGTAACTACAAAGCCATCCTGACACCTATACATTAAGATTTTTGTTAAAGTTTTATAAAACTCCAAAAAGAAATATTAATTTTATTAATCTAGTAGAAGTATTAGTTTAAAAGAATGTAACATGCAAATTATAAATGTTCTGTTAAATAAGTAGAACTAAAGAAATATATTATTATTTGAGATTAATTGCTTTTGATATTTAAATATTTAATTTTAAAGAAGAAATTTCTGAGGGAAAATTATCATGGCACCGGCATTCGTGTTGCATCCATAAATCTTCACAGTGGAAAGGTCTTGGACAGATAATTCCTTGACAAGGATTGTTGGATGGACAACCATCAATCAAGTTCCTCCATTCAACTACAGCTGCATTTTCAGAACCATTTTCCATAGGCAAGTATCTCTGATTTAATCGAATATCATTCATGCACCCTAAATATTTAAAATACATTTTAAAAAACACAATAAGCAGATATTATTTAAGTAATGTATTATTATATACCTTCTTGAAAGTCATTGTCTACAACAGTTACTCCTGGTCCAACATACTGAACATCACCTCCAGCAATAACATTCTGCTTTTCTATTTGCATTAACTGATGCTGTCCAACATAGTCAAGAAGTTCATTATATCTTCTGCCACCACCTCCATCTAATGATATGCTTGCTGTGCTACCAAATCGTAATACTCTAACTGTATGCCACTGTCCATCACTAATTTGTACATATGGAAGCCACAGTTCTCTTTCGTCTGACGATCGCAAATGATTTAAATTAAATCTTAATCGCATTTTTTTGTCTCTTATCTAAAAAAAAAATATATTATTTAAAAATATTATACACAGTAATTTTGAAATTATTTATTATGAATAGAGTATATTTACCTCTAGTATACAATATTCTCGTCCATGTTTACTTGTAGCACGAAAGAGCTCTCCGTGTTTTTGTCTTGTGCGGAATTGCAATTGTATATCAGTTTCATAAGGATTCAAATCAAATGACAATGCATATTTAATATAACTATTTTGTTGAAACATTTTGGACTGAGTTTCTAGAAAATCACATAATATGACATTATATATAAAACATATTTTAGGACAACTAAAGAAATAAAAAAAGATTTACATAAGATGTTTTTCAAATAGAGTCTCTTGAAATGAGATATAAAAATATTTACTTTTTCATAAATAATAAATTAGTTTTTATGTAACCTAAAAATTATGTTTATTATATTTAAAAGTAATGTTTTTTGTGTGAAATGCATATTTAATATTAAAAGTATTTAATCATTAATTCATTTGATTTTATCTTTTATTTACAATAATATACAAGTTAATTTAAATAGTAAATTTTATTTTTTAAAATGCATTGTGTAAGTCATTATTAATTAATGTTACTTTTTAATAATATATCTTGTGATTACATTTTTGCCTGTCCATCTAGAATTAAATTTCAATATTTTTAGAAACTAACTAGAGGATCAAAATCTTTGAAATAATGATTTGATACAAAATGGGAGTGATTAAATTGTAGCATAATTAATAAATAATGACCATTTTTGGAAAAAATTGTTCTCATTAGATTAAAAAAAATAATGCATGATAAATTAATTCCTTAAAATAAGAATTAAATTATTATTAGTAACAGTTTAAAAAATTCACAAAAATTGATGTTTGTTTACAAATTATAATTTAAAATATAATAAACTAATATAGTATAATCAGATAAACAATATAATTAAGTTTTTCTAATGATAAAATTATTACTCATAATAATTTCTTAAATGTAGGAGCTATATGATGATAATATTTTTGATATGATAATGTTGCTATTGATATGATAAATCAATAGCAACATTATTAAAAAAACAAATTAAATATTTAATTTAGGAATTTAAATGAAATTAATATTTTCATATTAGAATATATGTTTAAAACTTACTTAGATAAATAAATATATTAATTTGGAGAATATTTTGTTTTATAGCAATAAAAAATAATAAATAAATAAATATTCATTACTTATAAATATAAAATTTATCTATTACAAATATTATCTTCATTGAAATAATTTAAGATGAATTTTTGATATTTCTGGTTAATTTATTAATTTTTCATCAGGCAAAATAAATATAATTTTTTCATGTATATCTTTTCCTTATTGAGGTAATGCATAATTACAAATGTATATCTAATAAACTTAATTTCAGATAATATTACTATTAAATTTGTAAAATCTAAAACATTAATTAGACTTGGTCAATACTCCTAAAAATGTTTACTTAGATAGATTAAAAAAAAAAAAGACTTATTTCAATATCAAACCAATTTATTCATTCATAAAAACTGATGATAAATTGTTGCATTAATAACATTTAAACAAATTATTTCAAGAAGATAAATATAGATAAAATACATAATCTAGCTATTTATTTAATAATTTAAAATATCTCACCTTTATCACAATGAGTTCCATACCAGCCAGGATGACAAATGCATCTTGCTTCCATATATGTACCTATACATTGTCCATGCTCACAAAATTTCTTTACACCATTTTCTTGGCATTGTTTTTCAGCCGGTGGACAGCCTTGTTCACTGTTTGAATAACTTCCTGGTGAACCTAAATCATACATCTATAATAATACAATTAAATAATAAATTTTTATTATTATTTGATTTATTATATAAGAAATTTGACAAAATTTGGGTTAATTGAAGAAAATATTAATAAATTATTCTGGGGGGATACATTCAATGGATGTAGAAACAACTTCATAAAAAATTTTATGTAGTTTACAACAGGATGAGATAGCATCATTTCCTGAGGAGTTTTATTCAAATCAACATTTAAATAAAATACAATTATAATATAAAAAAATCTCAAAAAATTAATGCATTAGAATTAGTCATTCAAATTTAATTGTTATAATTTTGAAAATTATAATTTTATTCTATACAAATATTATTAAGATATCTAAAATAATGCTAATGAGTTAAAAATAAATATAGAGTATGATATTTTGTAATATATATAGTACTGCATACTCAGATTATATATGATTCATTGAGAAAATGATATAAGTAGAAAGTTAAAATTTTTTTTTTGGCTTTGATTTTGAGAAAAGTATATTTAAAATTTGGAAGAAAAAATTGGAAACGATATATTGTTATGTTATAACAAGACAATAGAAATCATATGCTAGTAATTGATTTGTATACTATTGTTTGATCTGTGCCTATGCATGTATTAGTTTTATTCATATATAATTACTTTATAATATGCTGTTTTATCTAATTATTCATTTGAAAATATTTAAGATTTACATTTATCTCCATGCCATGAACTTCTGTTGTTTGTTGTCAATGTTTTAGCCATACTTTACAAAAATAACCTCAAGGTGCAATTTATTTAAGAAAAGAAAACAAAAAATACATCCGTTTAATATGAATATGACATAGCATTATACTTAGAATTTAAACAAATCAACTGTCAATCAACTAAACATTTTTTGGAACATTTATGAACTTGTGAGTTCTTTCTCCTTAAAAATCATCATATTTTAGTATGTAATATGTTATGGAATATCTTGTATCCATACAAAAACAATATTAAAAATACTTAGCTTTTTGTGTATTTATTAAGGAAATGTTTATTCTTTTATTTTCTGACATTTTAAATTTTTTCATAAGTATAAACATTAATTTTTACATAAAATTTTTATATCATCTTTTATATTTGTGAAAAAGAAAATTAAATAACAAAAGAAAGTATTTTCTTTCCTACAGAGGTATTTTTAATCAAATAAAATTTTATTTCACATTTAATTAGTTTTTGAAATTCTTGTTTTCATAATCTTATTTATTTTTTAAAAAATTATTCATATCTAATTTATTCAATAAAATAAAACAAAAAGTACACTTGTTTAATGAAAACATGATATAGATTAAATATTATATTTAAAATAAATGAACTGTCAATCAAATTTTTAAAATTTTTAACAAAATTTTATTATTAAATGGCAAATTTAATATTAAAAAATTTAAAAAATCATTACTGAATAATCATATTTCAAAAAGTTTACATTTCTATACTAATATATTAAAAATTTTGTTACTTAATTAGAAGAATTTATATTATCATGCAGAGTTTGTTTAAAAATTAAATTCATTTATTTATCACAATGAATTAGAAAATCTTAGAAAGCAGATTTATTGATTTACTAGCAGCAGCTTGCCTTTCTAGCTCTGCAAGTGAAAGCTAAAAATTGATTTAATATTTCAATGCGAAAGACTATATATCAAATATTTATCAACAGATGAAATATTTCATTTCACAAATTTATCTTCTATCAATCAAATTTTATTATCTTTTACTTTACAATTTATTTTTACTAAATCATTCTTGTAATAATAATTTCTTATAAACATTTGGAAAATAAAAAATAAATAAATCAATTCATCTACAATATACATTTTATTTTTGAAATAGGAAAAAAATCCAGAAAATAAAAGATATGTCGAATATTTTAAATACAGAATAGAATAAAATTCTAAGTTTATGGAAATTACTTATTGTATTATACTTTCAACAGTTACTTATTTAAATATATATATATAAAAAATAATAGAAATAGTTAAAGATTTACTTATTAAATAAATTCATTTTATTTTGCAGATATATTTTGAAATAAGTTTTACAATAAAATAAGTNGACCATTTTTGGAAAAAAATTGTTCTCATTAGATTAAAAAAAATAATGCATGATAAATTAATTCCTTAAAATAAGAATTAAATTATTATTAGTAACAGTTTAAAAAATTCACAAAAATTGATGTTTGTTTACAAATTATAATTTAAAATATAATAAACTAATATAGTATAATCAGATAAACAATATAATTAAGTTTTTCTAATGATAAAATTATTACTCATAATAATTTCTTAAATGTAGGAGCTATATGATGATAATATTTTTGATATGATAATGTTGCTATTGATATGATAAATCAATAGCAACATTATTAAAAAAACAAATTAAATATTTAATTTAGGAATTTAAATGAAATTAATATTTTCATATTAGAATATATGTTTAAAACTTACTTAGATAAATAAATATATTAATTTGGAGAATATTTTGTTTTATAGCAATAAAAAATAATAAATAAATAAATATTCATTACTTATAAATATAAAATTTATCTATTACAAATATTATCTTCATTGAAATAATTTAAGATGAATTTTTGATATTTCTGGTTAATTTATTAATTTTTCATCAGGCAAAATAAATATAATTTTTTCATGTATATCTTTTCCTTATTGAGGTAATGCATAATTACAAATGTATATCTAATAAACTTAATTTCAGATAATATTACTATTAAATTTGTAAAATCTAAAACATTAATTAGACTTGGTCAATACTCCTAAAAATGTTTACTTAGATAGATTAAAAAAAAAAAAGACTTATTTCAATATCAAACCAATTTATTCATTCATAAAAACTGATGATAAATTGTTGCATTAATAACATTTAAACAAATTATTTCAAGAAGATAAATATAGATAAAATACATAATCTAGCTATTTATTTAATAATTTAAAATATCTCACCTTTATCACAATGAGTTCCATACCAGCCAGGATGACAAATGCATCTTGCTTCCATATATGTACCTATACATTGTCCATGCTCACAAAATTTCTTTACACCATTTTCTTGGCATTGTTTTTCAGCCGGTGGACAGCCTTGTTCACTGTTTGAATAACTTCCTGGTGAACCTAAATCATACATCTATAATAATACAATTAAATAATAAATTTTTATTATTATTTGATTTATTATATAAGAAATTTGACAAAATTTGGGTTAATTGAAGAAAATATTAATAAATTATTCTGGGGGGATACATTCAATGGATGTAGAAACAACTTCATAAAAAATTTTATGTAGTTTACAACAGGATGAGATAGCATCATTTCCTGAGGAGTTTTATTCAAATCAACATTTAAATAAAATACAATTATAATATAAAAAAATCTCAAAAAATTAATGCATTAGAATTAGTCATTCAAATTTAATTGTTATAATTTTGAAAATTATAATTTTATTCTATACAAATATTATTAAGATATCTAAAATAATGCTAATGAGTTAAAAATAAATATAGAGTATGATATTTTGTAATATATATAGTACTGCATACTCAGATTATATATGATTCATTGAGAAAATGATATAAGTAGAAAGTTAAAATTTTTTTTTTGGCTTTGATTTTGAGAAAAGTATATTTAAAATTTGGAAGAAAAAATTGGAAACGATATATTGTTATGTTATAACAAGACAATAGAAATCATATGCTAGTAATTGATTTGTATACTATTGTTTGATCTGTGCCTATGCATGTATTAGTTTTATTCATATATAATTACTTTATAATATGCTGTTTTATCTAATTATTCATTTGAAAATATTTAAGATTTACATTTATCTCCATGCCATGAACTTCTGTTGTTTGTTGTCAATGTTTTAGCCATACTTTACAAAAATAACCTCAAGGTGCAATTTATTTAAGAAAAGAAAACAAAAAATACATCCGTTTAATATGAATATGACATAGCATTATACTTAGAATTTAAACAAATCAACTGTCAATCAACTAAACATTTTTTGGAACATTTATGAACTTGTGAGTTCTTTCTCCTTAAAAATCATCATATTTTAGTATGTAATATGTTATGGAATATCTTGTATCCATACAAAAACAATATTAAAAATACTTAGCTTTTTGTGTATTTATTAAGGAAATGTTTATTCTTTTATTTTCTGACATTTTAAATTTTTTCATATAATTTTTTTTTATTGATGTTGTAAAATANGGACCGACATATTGACTTAACTTTTTTTTTACTCGTTAGTTAAATCCAGTTTGTCCCCAGAGTGATTATTAGAGTTTCTAAATTTTCTCTCTCTACTGGAAACAGATCTATCTCAGACTTCATATTTTTTGTTGATGTTTACTTACTAAAAGTATTTCAGCATGTATTGGTTGAACCAACCAATATATGTAAGTACTAAATACAAGTTTATTTTGTTGTAAAATAAATCACAATATAATTTTTTTGGTAAAAATTTTACTCATTGAATATTAAAATTGTTTAAAATAGTGTGTTTAAAACATTAAAATTATTTTATGAATTTATCTAATGCACTGCTTACAAATAACTCTATTTTAAACAATTTTAATATTTACAGTGTGTAACAAGCATGTTTAGTTTTTATTCAGGGACAAAATACACAAAAAATATGAAAATCTGATAAATATACAGTATATAGAATTCATAAAAATCTTTTTGATGCAAATCATGTATTTGTATTTATATAATAAAAAAAAGTTTATAGCTATATTTGTAGAATATATATGAGTTATGATTTAATTTTCCTAGAGAATATTTTATTATTTAAATACTGTAGTTTTGTAGAATTGATTTTGCATTATTATAAAGTTTTATTTTTAAAACAATATACGCATAATTGTTGTTGTTATTATTTTAATAATTAAGATTATTTTTTAATTCTATTTAGAATTTAAATAGAATTAAATATTTCATGCATAAAATTTTAACATTTCTCTAAAGCTAGATGTTGAATTTAGAAATTCCTTCATAAATATTATAAACATATTGAAATGAAAATCATAAAAATTTTGTATATTAAAAAGTTATATTACCATTTGTTACAAAATTATACTCAAATTACTTAATAATACTTTAAATAATAACTTCAACACCTTATACTCCAGCTACTGCTGATATTTTTGATTATATTGAATGATCTTCCTCAGGCTAAAACCATGTGATATGATAAAATATTATAAAAACATGAAAAGAGCATATTTAAGTTTAAAAGACAAATATAAGTTTAGTCTTACATTTTTGTTTAATAAGTTTATATTTGTAAACATGTTGTTCTTTTCACATTTTTGTAATATTATATTTTACCAAATGGTTGTAGCCTGAGGAAGATCATTTGCTATGATCAAAAATATTAGCAGTGAAGAACTTTATAATGGAAGTGTAAGGTGTTGAAGTTGATATCTGGACTTTTATCTAGTTTGTCATTTTGTTTTCCACTTAGATAATATTATTGAATATTTGTAAAAAAAAATGAAAAGATGAGTATTATTTTTTAAATACAAATTATGGTAGTTATGATTAAATAATGGAAAATATAGCAATTTTATAGAAATTTTTAATGTTTACATTTGAATTGTATTTATAAAATTATCATGACAAAGATAAATATTTATTAAACTTTAATTATCACAGAGTCGTAATGTATTGTTTTCATAAGCTAAACCCATCTGCTGATAAATTATATTCACATTCACCAGCTGATTCCATACATAAACTATAATAAATTCTGACCTTATTGATCTCTATGACACTGTTTAGTTAAGATAAAATAATAATAGAACAATCAGTAATATGATGCAATTGCAAATATGAATGTGTAGAAAGAAAAGTAAATGCTACGATTAAGAAGAAAATTTACGAAAGATCAAAAATTTCAATTCTTTTTATTAAAAAGAAAAGGTTAGTTTAGTTATCAATTTTATAATTTCATAATACAGCAATATAATTTTTTCTTTGTTAAATATATTTCTTATTAATCTAAATTTTTCTTATAAAAATCAAATAATTCATTAGTTAGCCAAAAACACAAAAACCAAATAAAAATTCACTTTAATTGAATTATAAATCAATATGTAATTTCATTAATTCATTATTTTTATTATTATAAATTTAGCATATTAAATTTTTTAAAACTAAACAAATTTAATATATTTTTAAAAATTTATAGAATTAATATATAGAAATTATAAATTGTTTAATTAATTATATAAATGATTTAAAAAAATATTGAAGTGATTTTCAAAATTACAGTATTTTTATTTTTATGTTTTTCATTTCATTTCAATTAATAAAAGTTGAATACTATTAAAAAGAAATAAAACTTTAAAGTATGGAAAAGCTATTTTTTTTAATAATTAAGTTAATGAATTCATTATTACTTTTACAAGTTTTGTAATGTTTATTCTTTTATCACCTAATATACTTTTACAAAATGATATAAATATGAACCTTTGAATGTTTTCTATGTTCTGCTCCAGAGGATTTGATGCTATGAAAATGATTATTTCTTTACAATACTAATCCTATCTCTGTTGGTAAGCACTGCCATTAAGCCAGTCTAGTCCAGATATCCGTGAATAAAATAAAAGACAATTAATTGAGTCATAAACTTACAGTAAATTAGGATGCATATGTAACCATTACTTTAAATTTCATTATCTAAACAATACCAGTTATGCAAATCATGAGTATAAAATTGAAAAGTTTAATCTGTTTAAGTAATAATATTTTAATTACTGATGCAAATTCTTATTTCTTTACTTATACAGGATAATATAATTTTTTAAAGCATTTAATTAATCATGTTTTTTTGTTTTTGATAGTCAAGCAATTTTTAAATTAAATTTAAGTATGGAAAAACTAAAGATTAGGAAATCAGATGATAGTTATCTCTTCTCCCTTTAGAATAAATACGGCTTCTGCTGATTGAGATTTTTATTTGCTAATAATTTGGAATATATTTCAAGAATTTTTAACATGTATATAATAAAATTATAATAATAAATTTTATTTTGATAGGACCGACATATTGACTTAACTTTTTTTTTACTCGTTAGTTAAATCCAGTTTGTCCCCAGAGTGATTATTAGAGTTTCTAAATTTTCTCTCTCTACTGGAAACAGATCTATCTCAGACTTCATATTTTTTGTTGATGTTTACTTACTAAAAGTATTTCAGCATGTATTGGTTGAACCAACCAATATATGTAAGTACTAAATACAAGTTTATTTTGTTGTAAAATAAATCACAATATAATTTTTTTGGTAAAAATTTTACTCATTGAATATTAAAATTGTTTAAAATAGTGTGTTTAAAACATTAAAATTATTTTATGAATTTATCTAATGCACTGCTTACAAATAACTCTATTTTAAACAATTTTAATATTTACAGTGTGTAACAAGCATGTTTAGTTTTTATTCAGGGACAAAATACACAAAAAATATGAAAATCTGATAAATATACAGTATATAGAATTCATAAAAATCTTTTTGATGCAAATCATGTATTTGTATTTATATAATAAAAAAAAGTTTATANATGTTGAAATACTTAAATATGGTAATATATTTAGATTAATTTTTTTCAAAAATTGATACTATTTATTAACATAATGAAAACAACTTTTTGCAAATTAATTATTCTAATTTTTATAATGTTGTATGTGAATTTTAATGTTAAGTTATCATTAAACATGCTATTATAAAAAGTCAACTATACATAAATTTAAATTACAATAAACAACCTTATTTATTACTTGACTTAATTCAAGCAAAATTCTCAAATATAATCAAAACATTCTGAACTTTTCTTCTACTTGACATTAAAATAAATTATATTTTATGTTGTTGTTCTTATATATAACAACATGAAATATAACAACAACAACTACAACAGTCTTAAAAATGAGAAATATTCTTGAATTGATTAATTCTGATATTTTTAATTTAAATCAAAAGTTAGCTTTTATATTGTAAATTTGTGTTGGAATTTACTATGTTTCTGCCTCAACTTTCCATGAAGTTTAGAATAAATGTTTAACTAAGCAATCTTGAATAATTTTCTCTCCAAATTCTAACATAAGCATCTTAAATAAAT